CAGACCCGGGAGCATTGGAGGAGGCAACGGGAAGAGAAGGCAGAAGGCAATGGACTGAGGAGGCAGAAGGCAAACAGCCCGCCAGGGTAGGTGAGGCTTCCAAGGGGGTAGTAAAGGCAGGGAGGTGAGACAGAAAGGAGAGGGGCCGGGCAGTGTGTGGGCTGCAGAGAGAAGAGATGCAGTCTCCGGAGAGAAGGCCGAAGCCCAGTGCAGTCACTGAGCTATCGGCTGGCAGGGCTCAGGATCTGGACTATGGGGGAGAGAGTACCCCAGGAACTCATGGGGGAGTTGAGGTTACTCCAAGAAGAACAGCTTGAGAGAGAGAGTTAGGGGCAGGGGGCAGGTTCCCCTTGGGAAGAAGAACCTGGGGCTGTGCTCAAGCAGGGGTCCCTGGTGAGCACCCAGATCTACCTATTGTCAGCTACTACTGTGGGTGAGGGCTTTTTCTCCTCCCTTCCCCCCCCACCACACCTACAAGAGCAGCTACCTGCCTCCTGACCCCCAAGGAAAGCCCTAAGAGGGAGGTGGGGGCATTCTGGAAGCAGAAGAAAGCAAGCCCACCCACCCCAGCCGAGACTCTAGCCCCAGAGGAGGGGGAGGGTGTCAGAGCTTCGCCACGCCTGTCTTGCTGGTCCTTCCTGGGGGGGCACCACCTTCTCAAAATAGAGAGCTGAGGCCTATTCACCTCCACTCACCTCTGGTAAGTACCAGAGACAAGTTAATGCAGACCTTGGCATCATAGCAGAGTCAGAGAAATGGGGGTACAGTCCTCTCCCCAGCCCCTATCCGAGCCAACATGTCCACGCAGATCCTGCCAGTTTGCCTGCCCAGAGTCACCAAGCAGGAAGGTCTCCAAACTGTGGGGAAAATGTGTCCAAAAACATGCAAGGAGAGGAGAGTTAGACCCACTCACTCCAGTCATTTCATTGCTTCAACATTTTCTTTATCCCCACGTATCCACATATTTGACGTTTAACTAGAACCCTCAGGAACAGTTCTAAGTGTGTTGTGTATATTCATTTATTCAGTCTTCATAACAGTCCCACACAGCAATCCACTTTACAGATGACATTAAGGCAGAGGGATTCTGGTGTAAGAATCTGGTCATCTTAACCAGATTGCATAAATACGTCCAAATACATGTTTTGATGTGTTTTTAGTTTTCCTTTTATAATTTTCCAATTTTTTTCCTCCCTTCCACCAAGAAATCCAAGTGTTCACCCTAATGTGAGTTTCTGTATTTTTTATTTACTCATAATTACGCATAGACTTTTATAGACTGCAAGTATCTATCATCACATGTACATCACATGCTGTTACCTAGAAGGTTTACCAAGCAAATGTGCAAAACCCTTAAAGCTATTTAGAGCTATACAGTTAAGGGTTGGACCCTGTCCAAATTAATTAAACCAATCTGCAAAGAAGAGATTGCAGGTGACCCAACATCCCCTTAGGGTCATTTCCACTTCACCACCAAGGGGGTCTTGAGGGACATTTTCTGAACATCTGACCCTGGCCGAGCACAACCTGGCCATGAAACTACAGTGGCTACAACACCGAGATTCCAGCTGGTCCACCCTGGGCCCGCCCTGTCCAAATACCAAGAGTCCTATAAAAACCCCAACTCCCTTTAGCAACAGAGTTTAGGGGTTCAGGAGCAGTCCTTTTGTCTCTTGCCTGATTCAAATAATAAAAACTATTTACCATAAATCTCCAATTTGTCGACACTTTAAAATAGTGACCCAAAATAAATAAACATTTGTGAATCAATCTTCTCGCCATCTAAACTGGAAGCCCCTGGCATATCTCATTGGCTTTGAGCCAGATTAGTCTGCCCACCTTGCCCTCCCCGCTCAGGGTCATCTTCTATCTTCTCTCCAACGCAATGCACTTGTTTCTTTAATTCATTAGGGAATCCGAGGATGGAAAGTCCAGACCAGGAGGGAAGAAAGGCTGGTGAAAGGCAGGTGGAGTTTCTGGCTGGGCCATGCATCTCCTGGCCCCCAGAGGAGGGAATGCTGACTGTGTTATTGTGAAATCATTTGTATATTGTGAAGTGCTTTGCATAGGATGGAGTGATTTGCATACAGGGAGGGGAGGGGTACCTGAGAGGCCCCAGAGCAGCAACCCCCAGTGTCTTCCTTCCTTTGCAAATTGGGGCTTCCACTTCAAAACTCACAAGGGCCACAGGAGGGCATCCTGGCAGATGGGCTCTGTGGGTGGGGTAAGGTCAACTGGGGGCTGAGGAAAGTTGGTCATACCTGGGAGGAGTTGGGAGTCCAGTGATGACTGATAATGGAGCTGTAGGTGGACAGGACACTGTGCAGCACATGAGAGGTGGGTGAATGTGCCCTCAGAGCCCCAATAGGGGAAAAGCAATTCATGACAGAGGAAGGGAGGTCCCCTAGAGGCAGGTGAGGACCAAAGGTGTGGAAACCCCCACCCAGTGATAATCACTCCGCAGATGAGTGCCCATATGTCCCTTCCTGAATATTCCACAGTCCCAGAGAAGGGTGCAAAATGGAAGGCCAAGTCAGACTCTCAGCACCTTAGAAGTGAGAAGGGGTCTCACGTGCTTGGAGTTCAGGGACACCCAGGTCTGAGTCCTGGCCCTGCCATCTGTGCTCCTGTGTGACCCTGAGCTAACAGTACCCACCTCACCCCTACAGTGAGGAGTCAATGACTATTCCCAGTAGGGAGCGGGCACCTAACAGGTGTTATGACAATAGGGTTACTCTCTGCTGCCTTCGTGTGCACGCTCAGGCCTAGCTACCTCCAGGAGGGGCACCCAGAATTCCGGCTCCCCAGGTTTGGAGTTCCCACCAGTCGTGTCAAGCCACCACGCACTGGACCCCAAAGGGTTACAGGCCCTGGAGACAACGGCCTGAGGTTCCCAGTGAAAAACCAAAGCACAAAAATAATTCGATGAGTAAGAATAAAATTCCCTCTTCTGAGGTTCCCGAGGCCAGGCCCCTCCCTGCGGCAGGCACTTCCCCTTTCCCTTGAGCATGGAGGAGCCAGCACGGCTGAGTCAGAGCCCGAGACTCGCTGACCTCCTCCCTCCCGGGACCTCAGCCGGCGCCGTCTGGCGGCCGAGCGTGCCCCCGTGCGGCCGGAGGCGGCTCTGCAGCCGAGACAGGAAGCGGCAGCCCGACCCGCACGCCCCGCGGTCCC